TGCAGTGAGTGGGTTTTGGTTAGGTCGTTTGATTGCTTTGGGATTGCCATGGTTGTGTTCCTTCTGTGGGTGGTACCGGAGGGGGTTGTGTTTGTTCTTCCATGTGGGCCTGATTTCTCCTGCTCTCCACCTTCCTTGCCTCCCATTCCTCCTGTGTGTGTGTGTGTGTGTGTGTGTGTTAGTTACCATTTTGTCCTAGGCACATGTCGATTAGACACTAGGCCTGTTGTGTGTGTGTGTGTGTGTGTGTGTGTGTGTGTGTGTGTGTGTGTGTGTGTACACTCACCTAGTTGTACTTACCTAGTTGAGGTTGCAGGGGTCGAGTCCGAGCTCCTGGCCCCGCCTCTTCACTGGTCGCTACTAAGTCACTCTCCCTGAACCGTGAGCTTTATCATACCTCTGCTTAAAGCTATGTATGGATCCTGCCTCCACTACATCGCTTCCCAAACTATTCCACTTCCTGACTACTCTGTGGCTGAAGAAATACTTCCTAACATCCCTGTGATTCATCTGTGTCTTCAACTTCCAACTGTGTGTCCTTGTTACTGTGTCCAATCTCTGGAACATCCTGTCTTTGTCCACCTTGTCAATTCCTCTCAGTATTTTGTATGTCGTTATTATATCCCCCTATCTCTCCTGTCCTCCAGTGTCGTCAGGTTGATTTCCCTTAACCTCTCCTCGTAGGACATACCTCTTAGCTCTAGGACTAGTCTTGTTGCAAACCTTTGCACTTTCTCTAGTTTCTTTACGTGCTTGGCTAGGTGTGGGTTCCAAACTGGTGCCGCATACTCCAATATGGGCCTAACGTACACGGTGTACAGGGTCCTGAACGATTCTTTATTAAGATGTCGGAATGCTGTTCTGAGGTTTGCTAGGCGCCCATATGCTGCAGCCGTTATTTGAAGAATTGAGACACTTATACAACACATGGGAATCTTTACTGAAGAAACGTTTTGCCACACAGTGGCTTCATCAGTCCAGTACAAAGTAGAAATGTGTGGCGAAATGTTTCTTCAATAAAGATTCCCATGTGTTGTATGTCTCAATTCTTCAACTTGTGTGTGTGTGTGTGTGTGTGTGTGTGTGTGTGTGTGTGTGTGTGTGTGTGTGTGTGTGTGTGTGTGTGTGTGTGTGTGTGTGTGTGTGTGTGTGTACTCACCTAATTGTGATTGCAGGGGTCGAGACTCAGCTCCTGGCCCTGCCTCTTCACTGATTGCTACTAGGTCCTCTCTCTGCTCAGAGAGTTTTGTCATACCTCGTCTTAAAACTGTGTATGGTTCCTGCCTCCACTGCATCACTTGCTAGACTATTCCACTTCCTGACAACTGTATGACTGAAGAAATACTTCCTAACATCCCTGTGACTTGTCTTCATCTTCCAGTTGTGACCTCTTATTTCTGTGTCCTCTCTCTGGAACATCCTGTCTCTGTCCACCTTATCTATTCCACGCAGTATTTTGTATGTTATTATCGTGTCTTCCCTGACCCTCCTGTCCTCCAGTGTTATCAGGCCGATTTACCTCAACCTTTCTTCATAGGACATTCCCCTGAGCTCTGGAACTAGCTTTGTTGCAAACCTTTGTGCTTTCTCTAATTTCTTGACATGCTTGATCAGGTGTGGTTTCCAAACTGGTGCTGCATACTCCAGTATGGGCCTAATGTACAAAGTGTACAGCGTCTTGAACAATTCCTTACTAAGGTATCGGAACACTATTCTCAGGTTTGCCAGGCGCCCATATGCTGCAGCAGTTATCTTGTTGATATGTACTTCCAGAGACGTGCTTGGTGTTATACTCACCCCAAGATCTTTCTCCTTGAGTGAGGTTTGCAGTCTTTGTCCACCTAGCATATACTCTGTCTGCGGTCTTCTTTGCCCTTTACCAATCTTCATGACTGCATTTGGTGGGGTTGAATTTGAGAAGCCAGTTGCTGGACAATGTGTCCAGTGTCCAGCCTGTCCAGGTCTCTTTGTAGTCCTGCCTGATCCTCATCTCATTTAATTCTCCTCATTAACTTCACATCATCTGCGAACAGGACATTTCGGAGCCTGTTCCTTCCATCATGTCATTCACATATACGAAAAATATTCATATTGGTATTCACTTTTTTTTCTTTTGTACAGTATTATGGTCATAACAAATCTGATGATATTAACTACATTCACAACACCAACAGCTGGGGATTGACTAATTTTTTCTTACTTTCAGTATTTACTTAGTCACTTGTTTATGACCTTATCACTACACTGCTGCTATAACCAACCAATATCTGTATTTGTTAATATTTCAGATCACACCATTAACCCAATTAACTATATTTGGATATTTTGTGTCAACACTGCAGCCAGCAGCCTCATCAGCTGACTGCTACCCTCCCTCACTCAGCATTCATTCAAATTTAAATTGTAAAATTCTTGATCTTATCACATTATTCACACTCTTGAAAGCTGTTACACTCTTGTAGGTATGTTCACTGATTCACTCACGTACGATGACCGCTAATGATATCTTAGGACAGCCACTAGAAAGCTAAATCCTGGGAGCACTATTCAGCGATACTGCTTCACACTTGTGTGTGTGTACTCACCTATTTGTGGTTGCAGGGGTCGAGTCACAGCTCCTGGCCCTGCCTCTTCACTGATTGCTACTAGGTCCTCTCTCTCCCTGCTCCATGAGCTTTATCATACCTCGCCTTAAAACTATGTATGGTTCCCGCCTCCACTACTTCACTTTCTAGGCTATTCCACGGCTTGACTACTCTATGACTGAAGAAATACTTCCTAACATCCCTTTGATTCATCTGAGTCTTCAACTTCCAATTGTGACCTCTTGTGTCTGTGTCCCATCTCTGGAACATCCCGTCTTTGTCCACCTCGTCTATTCCGCGCAGTATTTTATATGTCGTTATCATGTCTCCCCTGACCCTCCTTGCTTCCAGTGACGTCAGGCCGATTTCCCTCAATCTTTCTTCGTAGGACAATCCCCGTAGCTCTGGGACTAGTCTTGTTGCAAACCTTTGCACTTTCTCTAATTTCTTGACGTGCTTGACTAGGTGTGGATTCCAAACTGGTGCTGCATACTCCCGTATGGGCCTGACATAAATGGTATACAGAGTCATGAACGAATCCTTACTGAGGTATTGGAACGCTATCCGTAGGTCTTGCCAGGCGCCCGTATGCTGCAGCAGTTATCTGATTGATGTGCGCCTCGGGAGATATGCTCGGTGTTATACTCACCCCCAGATCTTTTTCCTTGAGTGAGGTTTGCAGACTTTGGCCGTCTAAACTATATTGTGTCTGCGGTCTTCTTTGCCCTTCCCCAATCTTCATGACTTTGCATTTGGCAGGGTTAAACTCAAGGAGCCAGTTGCTGGACCAGGCTTGTAGTCTGTCCAGGTCTCTTTGTAGTCCTGACTGATCCTCATCCGATTTGATTCTTCTCATTAACTTCACATCGTCCGCAAACAAGGACACTTCTGAGTCTATCCCTTCCGTTATGTCATTCACATATACCAAGAACAGCACAGGTCCTAGGACTGACCCCTGTGGAACCCCGCTTGTCACAGGCGCCCACTCTGACACCTCGTCACGTACCATGACTCATTGTTGCCTCCCTGTCAGGTATTCTCTGATCCATTGCAGTGCCTTTCCTGTTATGTGTGCCTGATCCTCTAGCTTTTGCAGTAACCTCTTGTGAGGAACTGTGTGTGTGTGTGTGTGTGTGTGTGTGTGTGTGTGTGTGTGTGTGTGTGTGTGTGTGTGTGTGTGTGTGTGTGTGTGTGTGTGTGTGTGTGTGTGTTTGTGTGTGTGTTTGTGTGTGTGTGTGAGAGAGAGAGGAGGGGAGAGAATGAGTGAGTGAATGAATGAGTACATGAGAGGAAAGACGCAAGGTATGTAAAAAAAACCAGCTTTGGGTAAAAAAACCACCCAAACTCATATGGTTTTAGTTCACTTGGCAAACTGACAAAAAAAACATCTCATTTTTATGTTAATTTATTCAAACTGGGGTATTTTATCATTTTATATGTTACAGACATGTTTATTTTTTAATTTTTGAAAAAAATATCTTATGGATTAACAAAATGTCTAATTTAGTTTTTTATCACCCAATCCCCTTAATGCACCTCAATTGTTTTTATTGTGTGTTATTATTTTTACAACTAATATAAAACACTCAAACAAAAACATTTTTAGTTTTTTTAATTGCCTGCACCCCCACCAGTTAAGTTTCCTAGGTAAAGGTACACATAAGAAATTATCAGGTAAAAACGGAACCCTCACTTCCCAGGCTCCACAGCATTTTTTTTTCCCAAATAAAGCATAATGGGTTGTTTTTTTGCTTCCATACGAGTGGCAAAAAGGAGGTTCCTTGATGCGGTGAGGGCTTTTGCTCTTGATCTAGGGGAAATTTGGATCTCATTTGTTTGTTGGGCTACTTTTTGAAACTTTGGCAATTTATGAAAAAAGTCTTTTTAACGAAAACCAAAAAAGAAAAAAATCAACCCTAAAAAAGGGGTTCAATTCTCAGGGAATTTGCCGCCCCATTTCTTGGCTTATCTGTGATGTCCCATCTCACCTAAGCGGGGGCCCCAAAACGGGGTGTGCTTCCCTTAATTTAGCATAAGAAAGTAGATTTTTGGGTTTTTTTTCAATTTCCTTATGGGTTTTAGTTCTTTTTCCGTATTCTTGTCCCTGTAAAGTCTTTTAGTTTGGTTTAATATTTGCAATTCATTGACCATGCCCCCTTCGATTTTAGATATAGGGCCCCCCTTAGAAACTCTCTGCTCTTGCCTTCACTTATAATACATCATTTGAAAGATTACACCAACAATTTAGCAATCATTATATGCACGTAAAATTGAAAAATTTTTTGGTATGATAATGCTCACTATTCTACTCTCTTTTTATACTTTTTTTATCCTTTGTAAATCACTGCTAATTTCAGGTTTTGTTAACTGAACACTAATGAAATTTTCATGTCATTCACGGGTTTTTGATTGCAGAAAACAACCTTGTAAGACGGAGGGTCGTGCCTGCTGTAAAGCTGATAAGAAACCAACTACTGCTGAAGTCACAGCCAGAATCAAAAGTGATAAGGGTAGCAAGGTGGGTGGCATCTCAAAGCTTATTCACCGTAATCTTCTTTTTCATTGTACAGTAAAGTCCAGACTTACGTTCAGAGTTATGACGTTTTTCACTTAGGACTTGGCATTATGAATTGATTAATTCCGTATGAACAGGTGACTTGCACTTGTGACTGGACTATTTAGGATTTTCTTAAGAATAAATTATAAATATGCTTTTTCTCTTTTTTTTTTTTTACAATTCGTTCATGCTCTGCATATATTTGTGTCATACATACGTATATAAAAAAAATCACTTTTTTTGGTTGAGATGGTTAAGAACTGTAGATTTAATATTTACATTTTATTTAGGTTGAATTACAAATTATTTATATCACTCATGCTCTTAACCCTTTCAGGGTCAGTGCCGTACTAGTACGGCTTGCACGCCAGGGTTGGTGCCGTACTAGTACAGTGGACCCTCGACCAACGATATTAATCCGTTCCTGAGAGCTCATCGTTAATCGAAATTATCGTTAGTCGAGTTAATTTTCCCCATAAGAAATAATGGAAATCAATTAATCCATGCAAGACACCCAAAAGTATTGAAAAAAAAATTTTACCACATGAAATATTAATTTTAATACACACAAACTGAAGAAGACATGTACAATTACATGACACTTACCTTTATTGAAGATCGGTGATGATTGATGGGGATGGGAGGAGGGGAGACTGTCGATGGTGTTAGTGTTTAGAAGGGGAATCCCCTTCCATTAGGACTTGAGGTGTCAAGTCCTTTTCCGGGGTTACTTCCCTTCTTCTTTTAATGCCACAAAGACCAGCTTGAGAGTCACTGTACCTCTGTCGCACAACGTATCTGTCCATAGAGGCCTGTCCTCCCGTTCCTTTATGACATTCCTAAAGTGTTTCACAACATTGTCAGTGTCACAATTAAACACTTGTTCAGGTTTGAATTCCTGCACATATTTTTCAGCTGCTTTTTGGTCCAAACTGGCAGCCTCACCATGCCTTATCACACTATGTATGCCACTACGATTCTTAAATCTCTCAAGCCAACCTTTGCTGGCCTTAAATTCACTCACATCACCACTAGTTGCTGGCATTTTTCTAATTAAATCCTCATGCAACTTCCTAGCCTTTTCACATATGATCGCTTGAGAGATGCTATCTCCTGCTATCTGTTTTTCGTTTATCCACACCAATAACAGTCTCTCAACATCTTCTATCACTTGCGATCTCAGTTTCGAAAACATAGTTGCACCTTTGGCAAGAACAGCTTCCTTGATTGCCGTTTTCTTGGCCACAATAGTAGCGATGGTTGATTGGGGTTTTGTGTACAACCTGGCCAGCTCGGAGACACGCACTCCACTTTCATACTTAGCAATGATCTCTTTCTTCATATACATAGTAATTCTCACCCTTTTTTGCTGTAGGGTTTGCACTAGAAGCTTTCTTGGGGCCCATGGTGACTTACTTTGCAGGTGCAATCACTAAAAACGCTGTGATAATATGATTGTATGTTTGGATGGGACCGCAGTGGCTGGCTGGCTTGTGAACACCGGCCACAAGTGGACGCATCTCAGACGGAACGAATCATGTTGGTCGAGTTTTTTAGCACTAGTCGAGGCAAAATTTTTGCGTTAAAATGTATCGCTAATCGGATTTAACGTTAGACGATGCCATCGTTGGTCGAGGGTCCACTGTACATGTAAATTCTAGCGCCTTCAAATCTAGCGAGAGAAAGCTGGTAGGCCTACATATGAAAGAATGGGCCTGTGTGGTCAGTGTGCACAGTATAAAAAAAAAAATCCTGCAGCACACAGTGCATAGTGAGAAAAAAACAACTCCGACCATGTTGTTTGTTTAAAACAGTGACTTTGCTGTGTATTTTCGTATGGTATTTATGGTTGTATTCTTTTTTCTTGGTGTCATTTTATAGAATGGAAGACGTAATACAGAAATTGAGATGATTTTGATTGGTTTCACAATGAAAAGTGCCTTGAAATTGAGCTCAAAGTAGCAGAAATATTCTATTTTTGCCAGTGTTCAAAAGCAAACAAATCATGCCACGTGTCAATACACGTCAGCTGCTGACTCTAATATTCTTTCACAAGTGTGCTGATAATATTTATACCATTTTTACACTAATGTAATAGTCTGCATAACAGCAAATCTTCTAGTTTTTGTGAGAATAAAAGTTCAAAGTGGAAAGCAAAAGAAATGTAAGAGGGGCATGGGGACATGACAGATGAACAGAGAAAATGTTATTTTAGTGCCAGGAATGTCTGTCTTGTTTATTCTGGACCCTATTTTGAAATTGGGATCTTTTGAAATTTGTGTGAAATTGGCAAAATTGCCAGTTTCTGACCACTTTATTGGATAGTTGAAATTGGTAATTGGCTGGTTTCTTGTACTCATTCGATAGAACAAATGGAGTTCTAACGAAATAGCTATGATTTTTTTTGGCTGGTGCATTGGAATTGGCCAAAAATAGGGCTCAAAGTGGGCGAAATTGCCAATGCATGAGCATCGTCGAGACTAACTTCGCAAGAGCATAATCCCATAGGTTTTCCATCAGATTTCATACTTTTGGTGTCATTATGATCGGGAAAAGATTTTTTTTCATTTAACCCTTTGACTGTCACAACCCCCAATCCTGAGGTGTCTCCTGGTGTCGTAAAATTTAAAAAAAAAAATTATTTTTTCTTATGAAATGATAGAGAATCTTTTCCCGATTGTAATGACACCAAAAAAACGAAATTTGATGGAAAACTGACGGAATTATGCTCTCGCGAAGTTAGCGACCTCGGCGCTGTTTACAAATCGGAGATTTCGCCCACTTTGAGCCCTATTTTCGGCTAATTCCTTGTTCCCGTCGCCCAAACTCATAGCTATTTCTTTAGAACTCCATTTTTTCTATCGTTGAGTACAAGAAACTGCCCATTTACCTATTCAACTACCTAAAAATGTGTCAGAAATTTGCAATTTGGCCAATTTCACGAAAATAAAAAATATGACAATTTCAAAATAAGGTCCAGAATGAACAATGCAGACATTCCTGGCTCTAAAATAACATTTTCTTTGTTCATCAGTCATGTCTCCAGGCCCCTCTGATATTACTCTTGCTTTCTATTTTGAATTTTTATTCAAACAAAAAATAGAAGACTTACTATTATGCAGACTACTGCAATGCTGTAATAATTGTATAAATAACATCAACCCATTCATGACTGCATATTAGAATGGCTAGTTGGACATTTATTGGAAAATGGCATCATTTGTTTACTTTTGAACATTGGCAAAAATCAAACATTTCCCCTACTTTGAGCTCCATTTCTAGGTTCTTTTTATAGTAAAATCAATCAAAATCACCTCTGTTTCTATAATATGTTTTCCATTCTATCAAATGAGACCAAGAAAACGAGAATACAACTATAAATACTATATGAAAATAGACCACAAAGTCGGCATTTTAATGAAAAAAAACGGTCGGAGTTTTTTTTTCTCATTATGCACTACGTGCTCCAGGATTTTTTTTATATGGTGCACACTGACCACACAGACCCATTCTCTCACATGTGGGCCTACCAGCTTTCTCCTGCTTGATTTGAAGCCGCTAGAATTTATGAGTATGTATATACGTCAAACACGGTACCTCGTAAGACGTATATAATGGGCCCGACAGTCCCAACAGGTTATAAGAAAAAATATTTTTTGTATTTTTGTCGAAAAATTTTTCCCTAAGAACGAGTTTAGGAGTAGGGCCTCTCAGACCCTGATAAGGTTAATCAATGTATAGAAGAGCCCTGGGACTTATTTATTTTTGTGTACTGAGAATTTGTTACTATAAATTAGTAAAATTTAATTATTTATTTTTTATGAGTTAGTATGTCAGTGGTTGGCAGGAGGGTGAGAACAGGGATACTGTTTGGAACACAGCCATCATGTCTGGTGGCTGTGTTCCAGACAGTCTCAGCCTGGCTCAGGACCTCCCTCAACACTTCCTCCTTCACTGGTTTCCTCCCTTCCTGTCTCAATACTTTCCTCATAGCTTCACTGCCTCCCTCACTTCCTTCCTGCCTCAACACTTCCTTCTTCACTGGTTTCCTCTCTTCCTGTCTCAATACTTCCCTCATGGCTTCACTTCCTCCCTCTGTTCTGGTCTTAATACCTCCCTAATGGACTTGCTGTCTCCCTCCTAACCTCTCTACCTCCCTCCCTCCTTAACTGTCTTCCTTTTTCACTGTCTCCCTCCCTCACTCTCTCCCTCCTTTACTGCCTCCCTCCTCCCTCCCTCCCTGCTTGCTTGCCTCTCTCCCTCCCTCACAGCCTCCCTCTTTCACTGTCTCTGCCTCCCCCCCTCACTTCCTCTCTCTCTCTCCCTGCCTTATTCTACCTCCCCCCTCTCTTTCTCTCCATTTTTGTTACAGGGTTTCACAAGGTTAGGTTAAAAATTCCTAACTTTATTTACAAGCTAAGAGCTGTTACCTCCATCAGCTCATTTAAAAGCCTTTTTATTGTTATGAGACATACAGATAGGGAACAGGATGAAGTTGGAGTCATCTGTGGGCTAATAATTTCATTTGATCAATTGACTTTATTTCGTTGATATCACTATGCTGTACAAACATGTTTCAGACTCGAGTCATCTTAGGAATAAATGATCTCAGATGTAGCAGTGTTCTGGTGAAGGATACAGTGAGAGTGAAGTTGCTGCTTGCTGCCCATCTTGTTGTGTACAAGCTCACTTCTCACTGTCCTTGGAGTGGAGCCAGATGTGGTTCTTTGACAATATTGGCCTTGTATGTGACAGTAAGGCCGCCCACATCCCTATGTGTTGAAGGCTCTGCTGAAGTGACATATCTATCCAGGCTGGTTCTGGGCTAGAGGTGAGGTGTCTTGCTCAAGAAGTCGCAGATGAGATGGGGGGGCAGGCAGTCCAGGAAAGTAGAGCATACTCAAGGTGTGAGCATACTTGTGCCTTGTACAGAATCTTGCAACCTCTACTGTTGAGCAGAT